CTATACTTAAGGTGAGGTAAATATTGTTATTCACTGGTTTCATCCTTATGTACCTTTGCAGCAATCCATTCAACATTTCTGCTGTTTACAATTTGGAGCACAGCAGAGCATGCGAATACATCTATTTACAGTATTTTAAAGTATGCAGCTTAAACTATAGCCTTATAGTTGGAGTTGAGAAAGTAGACTGGCTTATGTTTGCATTAAAAAAAATTAAGAAAAGTCTGAAGGTCTCAAATTGAAGATTGAAAATAATTAGATCAGCTGAGTGAGTTAAAGATGAAAATATAATATTTTATATTTTAAAAGAGCAAAAAACAGAGTTGACAGATAAGGAGCGAGGGAACCTGGGAAAATATTTTGGCTTTTAGGAATGCATTTTGAGGGGAGATTGATGAGTTTATTTGAGAGTTTAAGAGTTATTTGAGAGTTTAAGAGCTCAGTTTGTGCTTGTGGGCCGATCACTTGTCTCTACTCAAAACATAAAGCTTTCTTTTATTATTCAAATAGCATCTGGTGTTCAGAATGACCAGAATATCGGTACTGATAATATATGTTTCAGGGATAAGAAGCTTCTTATGTTTGTGGGACAGATGAGATGAAAGCAGATTGAAAGGCAAGTGACACTTGATACACTCCTGTGACTCTTTTACCACTGCAATTTTGGTCACCAAGATCACTGAGACAGCCTTCCTGGAAGTATAATCTATTTCCCACCTGACAACAGACACACAGACCTAAAAACACATACACGAACACATTCCAGTAGTGGAAGATTATGCCTCTCGATAATAGTTGCTGGCTATTTCTCTCATATTTTATTTGTAGGCCTTCCATTTATTTATTTATTTATTTATTTATCAATTTTATAGGAAGATTATGCCTCTCGATAATAGTTGCTGGCTATTTCTCTCATATTTTATTTGTAGGCCTTCCATTTATTTATTTATTTATTTATTTATCAATTTTATATGTTGCCCATCTCACTATATAAGTGACTCTAGGCGGCTATTTGCATCTTGTTGACCACAAGAATGCACTGAATACTGCACTAGATGGATGTTTTGTCTTTATACAGCATCTTCCTTCTTTTATATTTCTCTTCTTACTTGAACATGCAACTATATCCTATCACTTAAGGCCTAACTGAAAGCGTCATTTCAATAATACTTTGCAATACAATAACACATAAACACGCAAGACTTGATAGAGTGGCTAAAGATAGAGTTTGATTATACTGATTAATTGTACATTTCTTGTGAAATAATGTTGACAATTTAATACATAATTTTACACACTGAGTATTAATCTGCCTCTTGGAAGGCACATAATACTTGGAACTGTACAGACAAGATCAAACAAAGTGCCAGCTTCGGTTACCTACATTTGAATTGAATTTATATCTTGCTTTTATTTGCATAACTTAGGATAACATACATAATGCTTCCTCTTCCTATTTTTTCCACAACAACCACTCTCTGAGGTGGTCAGGCTGAGCAAGATTGACTGGCCCAAAGTCACCAAGCTGATTTCCATGCTTAAAGGACGAACAGAACTCATGTCTCCTGATATCTAATCCAGAACCACTATACCAAACTGGCTAGTATCTAGATCCTACTTCTTGTTAGTCAAACTTGCAGTATTCTGATTTTTTACATAACTGGAAACATAACTGACTTTTCTTGTCATGCACTAATTTTTGTACCAAAGTATAAACCATACTTTCAGTTCAGAAATTCTAAAAGTGATGAATCCCTTTCAAATCATGGTTTCAAAATAATTGAGCTGGTACCATGTCATTTTGTCAATAAAAATTATTCCCAAATAAAAGTGTTTAGAATTGCAGCTTCATCCACAGAGGGAAGAACACAACTGGAGGACCTCATTAAGAATAATGGAGCTAAATCAACTTAAATCCAAAGACTCTGGTTTCAAATGAGTCAACAGCTGAATAAATGTAAAAATTATATCCATTTTATTTTTTAGAAGTTGGTGTTTCAGCCATATTCACTTCACAGCATCCATAGTTTAGTTGCTGTTTTTATTTAATCTGACAAGAAGATTGAAATTTTCAAATCCCTTGTCAATTTTAACTTTACAGTGAAGGTACATCCCAGATGAAAAGACTTGTCAGTTTCATCGCTATCTTTGTACTTTTTACCAAACAACTGGTACAGTTATATGTAATTAGCACCTGATATTTCTGAACCAATGGTACAATGCACAAATCTTTGCGCAAGGGAAAATTGCAGGCACAAGTTGGTATCAGAAACACTTTAATAACCATGTGTCAGGTGTCTGCTAAATGTATCCAGCACACCTAAATGAACGGCCATGTTTTACACAGTTAGAAGTCAGTCACGAATAAAATACTTTATTTCTTTCAATCACAGAAAACTTAGTTTTTTCATACTTTTCAAAGGATTTGCCACCCATGTAGCTAATTGGTTCTTACACTCTAATTTAGATGGGCATTTCCTTGAGTGGACTATTTCACCTCATTAGCTTCTGTTATGAGACTCTATTACGGTTTTCTCAGAGACATAATGGTTTCTTGTGGAATATTGTGTTCCTATGCTGCTCCCTATATAAGGACTCTAGAAAGATCTTCATTTATCCAATCTTGAAGAAATTTCCAGGTAGGGAGTGTGATTTCTACTTAACGTTACTTCTTTCAGGAGTCAGAAATATCTTCCCAAGTCTCCTAGCTTTGTGCTACCATCTGTACGATACGCTTTACCATTAATTAAATTAGGAACTTCTTATAATACTATTTTTATTCTGTTTCATTTTATTATATCTGTTCTTAATTATTCTTTAAATCCTATTATACTTATTGTTTTTCTGTTATATGTATGAATGTATGTATGTAAATAGTTCTACTATTAGATATTTTATTGTATCTGGCTTTAGGGCTGTAATAAACTGATTTGATTTGGTTATCATGTTCGTGTTTATATGTGCAAGTGTGCAGAATTGCTATTGAATATGTAAAACAACTTAGAACATGTAATTATTATAAAGATTTAATTTGATACATAGCAATTATATATATATATATATATTAAATTGTGCCTTTAAACAGTGTTGACTCCTGCTGACTGCCTGGACAAGTCCCTGCAGTTTTCTTGGCAAGATTTCAGAAGTACTTCGCCATTGCCTCCTTCTAAGGGCTGAGAGAGAGTGTCTGGCCCAAAGTTACCCAGACGGCTTTCATACCTAAGGACTAGAACTCACCATGTCCTAGTTTCTAGCTTGGTGCCTTAACTACTACATACAAGTGGCTCTATGATATACTGTAAGTTTAGAAAAAATAGAGGTGAGCCTGTATATTGTAAGATTTAATAGTTTTAAGAACTATAGCATTTTGTGTAATAGTATGATTTCTGTTGATTTTGCAGATTCCAATCAAATATAGAATTCATTTTATCTAGAAAAAGATTGATGCCTAAGTAATTAGTAATTACTTAGTAAAAAGTAATTAGAAATTGCCCTGATTTATTCAAGAAGTAAAGTAAAAATAAAATAATAGATTTGTGTATATGTGTGATAATGTGTATTCATAAAGAAAGAAAGGGGAGAAGAAGGAAGAAGTAATGTTCATTCAAAATGTAACATTCTGAGAAATTTAATGACAAATAAATACTTATTATATAAACCATTTTACCCTTGATAACATGTAATAAAAAATATTGATATTTAAATATTACCATGAAAGTAATTCACATTGCTGAAATTAAGTAGAAACAACATTGAAAAAATGTCAGTTTAATTCTAATAACAGCACAAACTATACACATCTACACATATAATTAAATTTGATAGAAGTAGGATTGAAGACTTCTGTATTTTTATACCCCATAAATTTGAAATTATTTGTTTTTTAAAAAGTGTAGAATGATTTTAAATAAAACTATTAGGCAGAGTAACTTGGACAACATTTTCTTCAATAATAACTAATATTATTATCCCATTCCTAAAGCATTCTAAACTCACATATGCACACAGAGATAATATAACTACAAGAAAGAATGTTATGGTGCCTTAAAGACTAGCAAATTGTGTTTGATATTAAAGACTAAAAAAACTACACAAAGCTACCTTTGCCAACTGCAAGGAGTGGAAACTGGCAGATATCTAAATTTTATGATATCAGATTTCTTCCAGACAACTTCCTTTAATATTCAATATTCAATAGATCAATTCACATACTAAACAATCACAACCAGAAGCTTATTGGAAACGACAGATGACAAATATGCCATTTGGCTTTAAGCTTGGCTGAACTGCCCATATTTTCACTTAATGTACATCTATAAATGTGCACTGTGAACACTTGGTATCAATCTCATTAACAATAAAATTACACTCTGGTTCAGTGGTGAAAAGTGAAAACCGGAGACAAATGCATAGGAATGAAGCGTTATGCATACCAGAATATGGAACAATAAACACTATATATAAAAAAATCTCAAGACTTACGTTGACATTCCTTGCAGCACTTGCCATCAACATATGCAGGTGCAGAATTATGAGGGCAATCAGAAAGTGGGCAAATCAATGCTTCACATTGGATAGTACCATTCTAAAAAACAAAAGCTTATTTTAAAAATAATTGCAAGAATGTGGTCTAATGAATTGGGTAGTTGAAGACATGAATCCTTTGAAACATATCCTTATCTTATATAAAAATAATTATGAAGGAAAAACACATTCTAAGGTGACCTAGATTTCTGATAAACCATTTCAATTATTTCTAAAGATGTTCCAAATCCTATCATTTGTAGTCAAGATGCTACAAATACTGTAACTTGGAAGACTATTGATGTATGAAAAACCATACTGAATAAAGATTTTCAGGTGATTTCCACAGATCAGTTATTAAATCTATCTTATCTTTCTCTATATATCTGTCTTTATCTCTCTCTATCCTGTTTGTAAACTGCCAGGGAGTAAATGTGCAGCTACAAAGTTCTTGTGAGCATCCAGTTAGATAAGAAATCATCTAATAATTGGAGAAGATAAAACACAGCTCTAAAACAAAAATCTCTTAGACACAACTAGTAGAAGAGGATGTAGACGACAGTAGCCACTCTCACCAACATAAAGTAAAATGTGCATAAGATATAAAACATAAAAATGTGCAATATAAAATAAAATGTGCATCATTGTGCATATCTATTTGTAGTACACTTTTCTTACATGGTTAATAATAATTGCATAGTCCTGGTAAAATCAAA